TATATATATATATATACACATACATACACGCACATATGCGTGCACTATATGCAATCCCAGAATGCATAATTCATAATAGAAATTTTTATGAACTGGACGTGCGTGCCTATACGCGCGTGAAATATGCTGCACGGACGCATCTTGGTCCCATTCTGTTTTTGTGCATTGTCACGCTATGCAAATATACGGCTCCATACACAGCTTTGCATATGCGGCATATGGGACAATGCGCGCATATACGCAGCTTATTGTAGGGCAGTGTGAATGAGGCCTAACAAAAGAGGCAGAGGAAACATTGTGCACAAACAGGGAACAAGGTTGCGATGCAGGAGCAGAGAATAAAGTGTCACAGCTCTGTACTCCACTGCGCAACACAATAAAAGTGTTGCCGCCTTGTACTCAAGCATGCAACGCACGTGACACAACTGTCAAAGCCATTTAATCCCTGCCAAGATCCCCACCTACATTTTCCCTCATACAATCCCACTTTTTTTTTCCCTTCCACCGCCTCACCTCTTTTCCCCCCTCCCTTTCTCTCATCTCTACCTCTCCCTCCCTTACACCCCATTTCATCTCATCACCTATAAAATATATACTTTACCTTCCCCATCCACAAATCAAAAACCGACATCACAACTTTTTGCCTGGATTTGTTCCAGCAGTGTTCGTTGCAATCTGGATATCCAAACCCAAATCATCTTACTCCATCATGGCAGTTGATACAAGAAATGCTATAGAAAATTAAACTATGTTTGAAAGACATTGTTGTGTTTCATCTGAGCTCTTCTATCATAGCAACTGTTATGCCTATGACAGCTGTATAGACTGTTGTCAATATTAGCTTCAGTCATGTCATGCATGTCATGCAAGAGTTACTTGACTAAAAATGTATTGAAAATAGAATAAAAGAAGCTACTTTGATATTAATCTGCACGAGTGTACAAGACACAAATTAGATTTGAAGACTCTATAAGACAAAATGATACTTCTCTGCTTGCTAAGAAAACACCGGGGAAAAAAACCATAGAAAAAAAAAATATATATATTATAATTACTTTTTTTTTCTTCATCAGGTCAGTCATAATAGGAAACCAGTCAGCGGTTATCCTCTCCAACTCCAAGGTGATAATTGCCAAAGCCAGCGTGGAACCCTTGAACTGCAGTAATTGGTGGCATGCCATGCAGTGCTGCAGCTGCCTAGTCAAGAGTGCCGCGTGGCGAGAAGGATTCATTTGAGAGAAGCTTTCGAAGAGATGAGGCCAACTGAACATCACCATAGCATGGAACTGCAGAAAAAAAAAAAGTCTCATATATAGGTCAATTGTCTCCATCTTTCACTTATGTTGACCAAATGTGACAAACAAAAAATGCAGTGGACATCAGGAAGGCTGAATTGTGGCTTTTTCTTTGTGTGTCAGTACATGCTGTAATTATACGTCGGACTATAAAGCTTCTAACTGAATGTAATGATGTGTTCCTCGAACATAACCAAACTATTTTTGTGTATTTTGTTCCTTGGCTACTTGAGTAATCTTCGCTTATATTCCAAGTAACCAACCACAGTCCTCCCATTTCTTAACAAATTGTGAATTCTTGTTTTGTGAGTGTACCAAGACCTGCACCGCATATTAGATTTTAGCACTATTCTGTTTGGAACAGAACAGACTGCAGCATAGTAACTGCTGGCAGTCTAACCAATATTGCAGCTTGAACATCATGGCTGTCAAACAATGAGCCAGAAAAAGCTGTGGTACTGCAGTCAATGAGAGCTAGAAAGACAATACGATGATAGTATTAAGTATATAAAAGGAGAACTCCAGCCAAGGTTGCCATCAAACATACCGCATAGCAGGATATGGGTACTTTCTTTTTTTTTATTATTATTGTGCACAGCAGAAATGCCTGCTCTGCAAGGTAAAACAAAAAAACCCAGTTCAAGTGTGTACAAGAATGTAACCACCCATTTTATGTCTGAGCCAATGGTTATATGAACTGTACTGCTTGCATTAAAAGACAGATTCTGTCTCTTCCCAGGATTCATAAAATACTGTTTTGTCCCCCCTAACAGTACATCCTAAATCATGAAAACACATACAGCTATGTAATTAACCCCATGCTATACTTAATACTAAATGTGGTTTCTTGTCTGGAGATCTCCTTAAACAACTACCCCTAAGGAAAAGGTAGTGCACGTATGAACATACAGGGTTTTTAAAGTGCATTTCCACTTCCGCAGCCAAATTGGGATAACACCTATTTTATATGTGTTACATGTTCCCATTGCAGTTTAAATTGTTTTTACTTGGGTCAGGGTTTTAAGGGTTAAAGTTTCTTCTAGCTTCTATTTCTTTGAAGTGTTAGGAGGGGCTGTGAGGGGTCTTAGGTGGCTTGGCCACTGTGTGTTAATGATGCTCATCAGATAAATGCAATCCTCAGATTTCAGTTTCAAGCCTTTCTATAAAAAGGACCACGGTGAAAGGGCTAAGAAAGAACTGAAATCAGCCATCTTGCCCGATTTAATAAAACATCTAAAAAAAAAAAAAAAAAAAAAAAAGGGAAGAATTTTTTTTCAGTATGCTGTGTGAAAAGGAACACATAAAGGACACATAAAGGGGGTTTTCTCAAATTTGACTGCAACAGTGTTAATACACTTTAAGCAAAAGCTTTACGATTAGATGTATCAGGGTAAACTTCCGCTGGACGCTGAATAAGTAGTCTGTATTCTGTTGTTAAGAAATAATAACTGACAGCAGACGATGCGTGTAGATTTGTTTTGTTGCTGTGAAAAGGCTTAGTAATGTCCCAGTACCATACAGTTTTTGCCTTAACATTGTAATAGTAATAATAATACTAAGAAATATTTTTCTTTTCTGTTAGCAAGTGTTTTCAACAGAGAAGGGTAACAGGTACTCCTTGACCTTCCACGCTCATGTGATACAAGTGCCAGATTAATGTCACATGAGCTTCACTTTTGTTAAAACCAGAAGTTTTATTTGTGACAGGTGAACAATGTATCAAAATCCTGAAGCTTTCTATGTACAGTGTTGTTGAAATGAAAAAAGTTAAATATTTTTGAAAAATTGTTTAGAATTTTAAAGTGAAAGAATAGTTTGTTTTCTTAATTAAAAAAAAAAAAGATAGGCAATAGTTTTCTTTGTCCATACAGGTCAATGGCTTGCAATAGCTTCTCCAGTCTAGATGCTCTGTAGCAGGCTTGTGCATACAAATCTCTTGTTTACATCATGCTCAAATCATTTTGCTATCCTTACTATGTTCAGGAAGTCCACCGGTGTGGCCATGTACAGATCCCACTGTAGTTTATCCAGTATGATTCTTTCCATCCTTAAAATTTCAGCAGATGAGTACAGGCAGCCACTCTGCACTGCAAGCTTCTTCACTGATGGGATTACCTGTAACAGATTCCATTCAATAAAAAAAAAAAAGTTTAGCCAAAATTCTCCGTCTCTGTATATTAAATAATTACAATTTTTAAAACGCACTTCAAAAAACACATTTCTTGACTTGACTGTGATAAGAAAATGGGAATCTGGGGGTCTCAAGTTTCATTATGGTGAGGAGAGGGGGGGGGGGAATAGACAACTTGCCCAGATGACAACTTCACTAGACTTACCTTGCGTCTCCGCTGGTCGCCCGGCCGAAAATCCGAACTGCGCATGCGACGCTCCAAGATGCTTTGCGGCCGCCCGAGCAGTTTCAGATTCTCTGACGGGAGCGTGCAGCGAAGGCGGGGTGAGTTTAAACTGCTGTTAAAGCGGGGTTTTCTTTTTTTGTACTTTTTGCATACATCTACTGCTTGCTAGCAGTAGATATATGCCAAAAAAAACCTGAGGGTTTAGAAACTCTTTAAGGTCACCCCCCCTCCATGCTGCTTTAAGGATTTACCTTAAATGGTGCCTCTTGATCCGATCATCTTCTGTCCAGTAGTTTTCAGGAGTCCCTCTAGCAACGGTGCCGCTCTCTGATCCAACTGCGTGCATTGACTTGCACTGCTCCTCCGAATCTCTACTGCGCATGCGCCTGCCCCATGATCCTTCATGGCTGCTCGAGAATCTTCAGACGGGAGCGAGCGGCAGAGACACAGTTACGTTTTTACCTATTTGGTAACCTTTTTTTATTTTTATAAATGTTTTTGCATATAGCTACTGCTTGTTAGCAGTAGCTATATGCAAAACAAACTCTGAAGGTTTAAATTGTACTTTAAGTACATTAAGGTGTTGTAAAACTAGAAATACTTCCAAAAGGGCAAACCTTGTAATACCTGCAAGGTAATCCCTCATTGATATCTGTAAGCTAAGGGAGCCCGCCAATAGATCCCAGGTTCTCTACCTCTGCCCAAAAAGGAGCTAAGCCCCATCCCCTTCTGAACCAAAGTCCTGTCAGTGGCCACTGGCGCTCGACTGATCAATGACAAGAGTTTTTGCTCCAGGAGGTGAATTAGAAGAATAAACTGGAGAATTATCAAAACATAGCATTTGTCAATTAGGTTTGTTGGTATTCCCAACAGGCTTACTTTAATAAAAACCTGTAATGAGAGAGATGTGAGCCGCTACTGCTGACCGTCTGAACTTGCTAGTTGCCCAGCTGTTAAGCTGACCAAATCATTTCAATACTTTGAGTCACTGACTCAAATTGCTGAAGTCACCAGATCAGCAAGAGAGCCAGGAAACTGGGTCAGAAATAGCAGCCTCTGCAAAATTAAGTAGATGATGAAGAAAAATGCAGAAGTAGGTTACCATAACAGTCAAGTGATTGAGACAATGGGCAGCTGAAGACCAAGCTTGGTCCTGTACCCCCCTAGAGATTTTGTGATGAGTGGCTCATTATTCCTTACGAGGGTGCTGTAGAAGGATGGAGCCATATTTGGCTTTTACAGTCAATATTTTAATTTTCATTATTTTAATTTCAGTGCAGCCATCTGTAGCTCAGGATCTACTGCCTGTTTTGGCATATTGAGTTTTCATCTTGGATCAAGCAGGTTGTTGACAAGTTTTCTTTAAACTACTGTTCAGACCAGTTTACAATCTCAATGGCCCTCTAAATTGTGATATAAAATTACACACAGTGCCATTAAAAAATAAAAACTGTAAACATAAGGGTGTTGTCCATCAAACCAGTCAGATTCAGTTCTTTTCTCTAGTGCTGGTTAGGGGAGAGACAATTTGATCAAGACCATTAGGCCTCATGTGCTTAGGGACTGAATGAGAAAAATATGGGGGCACCTATGTTGCCCTCTTTCTGAAAATGCTTGTACGTGGGTTTTCACACTGCCCCTTCCTTCCCTCCCCTTTGGGCTTTAATACAAAACCACTGAGTTGGAACAAATATGCAGATCAGGAACGTTGCTGCAAAGACATTAGTCGCATACCTGCATAGTTGTTTTGGAGCACTGACACAGTGTTAAAGCCGGTGGGTGAGCCAAGTAACTAGCATTTTCAGAAGGAAAGGTCAGTAATTGAGGCCTCCATGGTTTTTGCCCATGAGTGTATCTTTAATTAGAATATGCATTCTTTGAGTTATCTTTCACAAAAGTAGTCCACTTATCCAACAAGAATTCTTAGACATTGCTCATTTGTAAGTCTACCAATCTAATTTGGCCACATGCTGTTTACATGCAGACTATGAACCTGGTATGTCACCATAACATATTAGAATACACTTGCCAAGCAGACCAACTAGACATTTTTTTTTTAGCAAGTTATACAAGCCAACAAGTGTTATAAATATACAGACAGCTCCTGCTTTGCTTCCTGTGTGTTTTTCTTCTTAACCCTACGTTTGCAAGTAGACATAGCAATCAGAAATGAAAGTTACAAAGAGCAGCCCTGAAAACAGAATTATTCTAAGTGTTTTATTAGGTAAATACAAAATATTCCAATGTTACCCTAAAGTCATTTTATGTGACTTCTAAAATTTTTAACGTTTTTGTTAGGGATGCACTGATACCTACTATCAATGGCGAGTATTTGGCCGAGTACTCGTACTTGCCCAAATGCTCAGATGCCTAGCCCGATACTAGCACCATGTAATGACTCTGCGCCGGGCTTTATGATTGGCCAGGAAGCCGGCTTCATGCTCCCTCGTCACCTAGTGATGAGAAGCATGGGGACGGCTTCACTGCTAATCGGGAACCTGGGTGGAGTGTCTTTTACACGCTGCCCAGCTTCCAGGCTAATCAGGAAGCCAGGTGGCATGTCTTTTCAGGCCAACCGGCTTACAAGCTAATCAGGAAGCCAGGTGGCGAGTCATTACACGCTACCTGGCTTCCAGTATCGGCAAGTACCCAAAAAAAAAAAAATTTTGATACCGAAATACCAGTATTGGTGCATGCCTAGTTTTCGTTATTGTACTTAACAGAGATTTGTAGGAGTTCTATTTCACTGCAGTCACTGGACCTTTCTGCTTTACTACTACTACTATGGAGGTAAGACATCAGCCACAGAGTGAGTGTATGGTGTTTAATAGGTTTCCTGAACTTTGAAAAAGAACAGTAATGAACAAACGCAACAAAGCACTGCAAAGAAGGAGGCAGAGTCTGAGAATGTAATAAGCAAATGCAGCTGCTCCCACGTACATAGATTTGTTAAACATGAACAAACTGCATCGGTAGAGGGCAGAAAGCAAACCCTTCCAAGACTGACTGATGACACAAAAGTTACAGGCAGATTAAGCACCTTTGAGACTCAATCCTAAAACCATCAGGACTACATTTTTGGTTTTAAATCACTAGAATTTATTGTGGGAAAAGAATGCACAAAGATGCATCATGTGGTTCATGAAGCATATTACTTAATACCCTGAATAGTGAAGAATAGTCATATGGATTGATGACATTTTATACAACCATACAGGTTCATATTTGGAGAAAGCTGACATAAAGCTCCAACTCACATCTTTTGCAATAGGTGATCAATATTGCTATGTGCATCCACTTCACTGAAGTTGGGATTGTCTGAATATTGTTCTACCTGGTCCCATCATGGCAAAGGGGCAACCCTGATCATGTTTTAACATGTCCCTAACAGAGCTATCTATAGATATATATATATCTATATACATATCTATAGATATATATCTATAGATATATATCTATAGATATATATCTATAGATATATATCTATAGATAGAGATATATATATATATATATATATAGTGTAAATTGAGGTTTCACATTCAAACTATGAAAGCAAAATATCATCTAAGGCAAGGTCTTTACCTCATCCTCTTCATTGGTTTTGGCAGCAAGATATAAGCACGTGATGGCAATACATCGAAGATACTTCACCTGGACCTACAGGTGACAAAACATGAAAAAGAAAAACCCTTAAGAGAGCTCAAACTTACATCACTGGACATTTAGAGGGGTCTACATCAGCTTGTTTGTACTAGGTTGAAATAAAAAATGCACTGGGCTGCGATGACACAAAGAAAAGCGCTCACCTTTACAGTTGCTAAGATACGATTGAGAATACTAGCAGCCAAGCCGAAAGTTTCAGGATAAAATTGGAATCTTGACCTCAGTTCTTCCATCCAAAGAACTACTTGCTCATACTGCATCAGAGAAATATCTGTGCCCTGTAAAACAAAAAAAAGGTTACCAAAGAAATAAAACGGTGCACAAATTGCATTCATGGAATGGTGTGGCACATATGGAAAGTATTGCTGAAATGGAAAGTATGTTTGCTCAGCATGGAACATGAGCATTAGGTAGTGGAGGGGGGAAGCACAGCTGAAGGGTCTGGTTTCCAGGTATGTGAACACATATTGGTTTCTAGGTATTAAAGCAGAACTACAACCTCCTAACCAGTCAAGGAAGGTGCCATCTTAGCCTCTACTTAGATTGCAGTTGCCTTGGTGCTGCCCATGTGATCAGCTATGACACCAGACATTTGAGGGCTTCAAATTCCAGTTGAGAGCTGAAATAAGCACACGGACAACCGTCACATGGCATGCCTTGAAAGTAATTGGGCGACCATAATTATAGGGTCCATTTCCACTTTAAGATGGATCTGAATGCAAAAGTGAACATTTGCGCTGTTGTAGGGAATGTTTAGAATTGCTCATCGTGCCCAAGCAGTACTCTGAAAAATGTACCCCTTTGTCTGGAATTCCTCCAGAAAAATAGTGCAGTTCCTGATATGTGAGGGTGCTTCCAGGCCAAAAACTGTATATCTAAAAGGTTAGATCTAAGGCACTGCAGCCTCTGACTCATATTGAAAAAAGAGAAAAGTCATTTTTTTACAGGATACTCCCTCTATAATATGTTTTAAATACTTTGCTTTCTCATGCTCCTACAATAAAAGTATCTTTTTTTTTTCCTTTCTTCCTTCCTTATCTTATTTAACTGCTTACCGTCCGGCTGTTGTATATAAACGGCCAACCAGTAGATTCTTGAATGCGAGTGGGCGTTTTACAAACATGCTTGTGCCCACGCACAAGCAGGAAACAGTCACTATTTGAAATAGGGGGTGATGGCTGTTTACATACAAGCAGTCTGGTGGCGGCCAACACCCCCAGCGCGATTACAGACTCTGGTCACTATTTTGAAAAAGACTGCTTAAAAACTGAGAATGCATTTGACAGCTGAATGAATAGAAGGTTGAAGCGCCTGGTCCCGTGTCACAGCTGATTAGAGACCACAGGATGGGGAACTTGGCCCAGTTCCCCCTACCCCTGGTCACCAGTCTTGGTTGAGAGATAGGATACTAGGTGTTTTTTTTTGTTCTAAAAGAGGAATAAGGCTCTCCCACAGGAAAGAACGGGGCTGGTCACAAAGAAGGCAACCTAGGAGGAAGTTTTTATGGATGAAAGCCTGGGTAGCTCTGAACAGGACTGCACAGTAAAAGGAGTCAATGGATCAGTGCTAAAAGGAAAATAGGTATCCGGGTGGGCAATTAAACAACAACAACAACAACTGTACCAAATAAGCAAACTGATTTTTTTTTGGTACCTTGATAGTTGAATCTAAAAAACATGGGACCTTCCATTTGCTTGCTTCCACAAGAAGTGCGTTCTCCAACAAGAACTGTAGGCGCTGGCACTCCGACAACCCAGTACACTTCATTGTAAAAAGGTACTTCTGTCCTTCCAGTTTTTACGCCAAGCACAGATATCTAGAAACAACAGAAGCACAAAACTGAGAAAATGCATGAACACACAAGGCATGAAGTTTGGAGAAAGAAGGTATTCATACGTGGGTGATTTTCTGTCATAACTTCACAAACACAAAGTTCCTTAATAATAAATGGAGGGCTGCCATTGCGGACCTCCTTTTAATGCTAGACTGTTGGCTCTAAAACAGACTGACTGGCTTTAATACATTCTCAAGGTTAGTGACTCAAAACAATTACAAAAAAAAAAAAAAGAGAGTTTGCAGCACAGGCAACCAGCTTCTGTATACAAAGGAATCAGCAATGCCAGCCTCCAGGCTTCTCCCAGGATACGTTTCCTTAAAAGCAGTACTGCAGCCAGAAAATTAGAACAATAAAAAGCCCATTAAGTATTATCTACTTACTAACATCCGAACCTTGTTATCTTTTCCCTGCACAGCTTGTCTTTCATAACCATTTAGTGATACTCTCCTGACCTAGTGTGAAAAGCACCGTTTGTATGCTGCTGTCCTGTTCCAGGAATCTGAGCATGCAGATTCTTATGCTTCTGTAACTAGCTGTGGAATCCCCAATGACAAAACCCAGTAGTGCGACAATCACCTGACGCACGAGGGGTAATAGATTGACATTCTGGCATCAGAAACTTCTCACTGCTTACTACAAGGAAATCAAATGCACAGAGAAAGGAAGCCTCAATCTGTGAAGAACATGCCTTTAAATGGTACAATTCCACTTGAAATCACTAGGGAAAGTTCTTTTGTATTTAAAACCAATGTGCATGGTCATGCAATTATGTTGTCACACTAAATGACATTATAGCTTGGATTGTATGCTACTATTACAGATGGCTTTTTACATAAACAGCCATTTCACCCAAAGAACTGTGTGCCTCCGCCGAATTGTCTTTCTGCTGGGGAGCTTTATATAACTTCTTGCATTCACAGGAAATATGCACAAAGACCCCCAGCTTCATATAGGAGTATCCTACAATGAAGGTGAAGGAGTACTTCCTCAGGTCCACTCTGCTAGTGATTGACAGCAGGCAGATTCCATAGCCAATAGCAAGCCATCTACTGGCTATGGAATCCGCTCACTGCTTGCTGTCAATCACCAGGGGAGCAGACTTGATGAGGAACTAGTCTCTCAGCTTCCCCAGCAGGCTCCACCCACTGTCAGCAGCATTGGTTGCTAGGGGACTGTCAGCTGTGCAGCCAACAGCCTCATAGCATGAATGCCTCATTCCCAGCCCCATTCAGCTCACTCACATAATGCAGTGTAAGCGATCTTCTGTGCTGCGGTACTGTAAACTAAGGCCAACAAAACATTTTATTTCACTAATAGAGTTTTGCTTTTTGTGTCTGCGCCCCATATTTCCAATTAGATAGCCCCAGTTACACAGTAGAAGCAGTTGGATAGACCAGAAAACCTTGTAGTCGTGATTTCCCATAAGATCTCTCAGTTGTCTCTTTCTGAATGTGGCCATAGATTGTCTCCTCAAAGAAAATGTTATCAGCTGGATCATGTGACAATCACTTGCCTATGACCATCGTTATTTAATAAGAAAACTTCCTGTGTGTTTTGCCATATATTTCCAAGTTACGGTCTTCACAATAGTTGTTACTCATGCCAGAAAAGACAGACTATAATCGAACACTGCAACTATTCAAAACGACTCAACTCTAACTCACGGGAACACTGGAAGAGTAAGCCCCAGATGTCGACTCCAGAGCAGATGTGATCAGTCTGTCTAATCTGTGCATCTAAATGTATGAAGAGCCTTCTGCCCACACTCAAGGGATCAAACAACAGTTGGCCAGAATTCTCCACACTGCCATAATACCTGCCAATGTAACTCCACTGAGATCATTGCGCAACATTGTCAACATGTTTACAGCCCATGGCACTGTAACTAATCTCCCCGGACATGGATGAAAGAGAACAATTGATCAAAAGATTGCAACAAAGGATTCATTTAAATATATTATTATGTTATAATGCATTAAGAGACATGTTAGGGAGGGATAATAGATCACAAATGTATCTATTGTGACATAATCCTATCACCTGACACCCAGGACATGTAGTTCCGGGCGGCGAGCAGGTGGTTTTGTTTTCTACATTTAGCCCTGCTACAGGGCTAAATGTAGAGCGAGACAGACGTTTTGTACAAGTGATCTGGGCGGCTACAAGTGATCCCAGATCACTTGTAAGCAGCCTGCAGGTCTGTCCCTCCCTCCATGGTCTGTCGCCCCCCCATGGTTTTCTGTGTCCCCCCCACTCTTCGGCGGAAGTCGGGACCATGGCTGCATTACCACACCAAAACATTTTCAGCTACATGGCAACATGCATGCTTTGGGGTGCCATTCATTCATCACACCATGGTTATACAGCATGACAGGGTCAACAGGGCCTAAACTTGCTGGTAAGAAGTACAGATCCGCAGGTAGCCTCTGAAGCAGGGGTGCCCATAAGGGCTCTGCAAAAACACTCAAACCGAAATCCCATTATTTCCTATGGGTATGGTTCACACCTGGGCGTATTACAGGCCGTCTGAACAAAACGTCCTACGCCCAAAGAAGTACAGGAGCTTCTTTGGGGCGTTTTTGCCGCACGTTTCCATTGGGATGCAGGCAAGTAGACCACGGAAACGCGTGGGTTTTTTTTTAACCGCGAATCACGCAACAAATGCGCATATTCGCTACGCCTAGGTGTGAACCCAGTCTTAGACATTACTGGACGCCTAAGAGTTCATTCAGTCATAGAAGAGCATTACATGGGTCCTGGTGGGTATAGAAATGAGCTCCGAATACACCTGAAGTCATGGTTTTTCAGTAAGGTGTATATGAGGCCTTATGTATAATCAGCTGAAATGTTAGAATATGCTGCTGGGGTTCCAACATTGTCATTTTGTGTTCCCTACCCCTTCATGTACACAACTCATGTAAAGTGACAATCACTACCCGCGTCTCAGGATGTACACTATATACTGTACGTGAAGTTGGCTGGAGCCGTTATGGAGCCCCTCCCTGATCTGATGGTATTTGGGCGGGACACAAGACCCCCGTGTATATATATGTACATGGGTGGGCTGCTCACCTCTCCGAGGCTACAAGCGCTAACCAAATTGCCAGTTGTTGGTCAGATCACGTATACCATGGTGCCTCCTGCACCTCAGTCCATCCTCCGCTCAGCCCCGGCTGGGCTCCCCAGGCGCTGGTCTTTGTGGATCCCGAGCAGAGCCTCAGCCCCGCAGTCCAGGCACATATCAGGCTTCGGTCACAGGTAGGAGACCGATGCAGGCTGCTGGAGCTCATCAGAGGCGGGATAGGTTGCTGGCAGAGCGGGGTAAGTGAACACAGGACAGCGCTGATGACACTGCTCACTCCCCGACAGCTTTGTGTTTACAAAGCTGGGAGACTTGAGGAAGAAAAAAAAAACAGACTGCTGGGCGTTTGAAAGACAAAGACCACTCCCCGGGCGGAGCCTCTGTGGTTACGTCAGAGCTGTGTGCGGGCTATGGCTGGTTGTATTGCTACACATATTGCGTGAGGTACATCGGTGGGCGTGGCGTTATTGTAGCTGCGTGACGTAATGGCGCCGCCTCTGTTTTGTAATAAATATGAGCACAAGTTTCACTGGTATAAAGCGGAACTGAGGTTAAAAAAAATATTGAACAGGCAAGCTAAATAAATATTTATTGCAGCAGAGACATGATGCGTATCTTCTGCAACGACACAAACTTACCTGCCTGTTCACAATCTTCAGAATGTACATGGAGCTGCACATACATGCAAGGGAAAAATTTAGTGAAGGCGCATGCGTCTGAGTTCTGGTAGAATCCTGGAACCGTTAGAAATGTATGGCGTGGAGAGGGGCGTCGGCTGCACGTACAAGCTCCAAGCTGTTGATCTGCGGGGGCGTGGAGGGGGGCGTTGGCTTAACGCGCATGCTCAGACCCGCTGATCAGGTCCACAAATTGTACTGCCAATTGCGCATGTGCGGGGAAGCGGTGCCTTGCCTGTAATTTATCTCGACACGCTTCCTAGCACATGGGCAATATAGGCAAATAGCCTGTGACATTTCTGGACCCAATCACCTCCTATGGGGTATTGCAAGACTCTGATAGCCACAGGCTCGACTCATAGAGGTCAAAGCATGATGGGATTTGCAGTTTCACCACAGCTAGAGTGCCATGGTTGCCTACCCCTGCTCTGCGTAGGAGTTTCAAGATGATGCTCATGTTCAGCTATAGTTCTCAAAGTCCAGGATCCATCCAAAGTCCTCCAAGGTTTGCACTGTAATTAACACATTGGAGTCCAGTGTCAGAGAGGTCAGCAGCAGATCAACCAGGTACAGTATCTAATGACTGGAATTCCTCTGACAAGAAGAAATCCCAGAACTGGTGAGAGGACCTTTGTAAATGCTTTCAGGACCGAGGCAAGGCCGAAAGGAAGGACCACAAACTGATAGTGGTTGTCACCCATGGCCCATTTGATTTCAAATTGCTGATGAGCTGGAAAGAGGGGAATATATAAATACCCATCCCTTATGTGGATGGATGCTAGGAAGTCTCTGTGATGAAGGGAGGCAATCATTGACCCACAAGATTCCAAAATTTCTGAAGGTTTCACCAAGACAGTGAGAGCATTTAAATCCAAGATAGGATTTTTGGAACTGTGCACATGTATGAAAAAACCTTGAAACCTTTCAGTTGGAAGAATGAGAATGATAACCCTCTGGTTCAACAATCCTTAAAAGGCTGAAAGAAGGTCCATCCAACAGTGCTGAGACATGGAAATATGCTAAGTGAAAATGTTCAGGTGGCAGAAAGAAGCTGAAATATGTTGTAACCCTGTGTCGGTTATGCAAACTTCCCAAATCTCCATGATAACCATTGGACATACCGCCACCCCTGATGGAGCAAGCGCAGCAGATCTTCATACAGGGCAGATGCAGATTTTCATCCCTTGGTTTGCCAAGGAAGTTGAGAACTCCCTGAACCTGAGGTGATGGAAGAAGACTCGTTGGTACAGGTACTGCAACCTGAGGTGGAGGAACAAAAGGAACATTTTGATTTTGCCCAGCGAAAAACTGAAAATATGGTCTCCCATGAAGGGTAACAAAGGCTTCTAACACACCTGTGGAGTTGGACAAAAGAATGGGTTATCCAAAACATAACCTGGCTAGTATCCTGTGCCTGAGGAGGATCCAGGAAAATTACAACTGCAGTTCAGCATAAGAGGAAATAATCCTCAACACAGCACACAGCCTGCTAGCCACTCAGAAGAAGTGAGTCCTCACAGGCGAGGGCAGGAAAAACTGCCACAGCTCTGGTCCCGATAACTCAGCAAGGAATTCCCCACATGTACTGGCCTGACCTGAGTAGGGAAGTTGTGTGTTATTGGTACACAGACAGGTAGTCGCTGCTGACCACAGGACCAATGCAGAGAAATCACAATATACTGAATGAACTGGGAATACTTGTGTCCGTTGGCTAACTGGAGAGACTTCCAAGGTTTAATATACCAGTAGCTTTTGATCATAGAAAATCTGCCACTTCAAGCAAAAAAGAGGAAGGGGGGATCCATTCTTCTGTGGCCTCTAAGCATAACTGAGCAGATGTGAAGAGAGAGCAGTTCTAGCCTCTAAGGGGCTTGTCTTCAGTTTCTATGTGCCTAGTGTCCATTTCTCCTGCAGGCGGTGGTATATCCCTAGGATGCTTAATTATCATCAAGTAGTGTCCCTCAATTGAAGATAAAGTCTGTTTTTTAACTTTTTTTTTCACCCTTTCGTTATATCCGTCAGCATTTTCGCTGTCCCTGGGACTGGATCATTTTTGGGCCCGGGACTGGATCAGCAGCTCTTAGCATGAAGATTGGAGGGGGATCAGCAGCTCTTAGCATGAAGATTGGAGGGGGATCAGCACTCTCCCACCTGCTGATCTGCTCTCTGATCTCTGAATGTGGAAGTGGTTGTATTACATCGCTTCCGCATTCAGCTGTCATTTCTATGGCTGCTATATCCAGAGAAGAAGCTGGTGAAGCATGTATCTGCTTCATCAGCTTCTTTGGGGGTCCCCAGGTGACATTAGGGGTCTTAGAGAGGACCTGTCAGTGTGCCTGTGCTTTCACATAAGGGGGATTGTTATCCCCCTATGTGATAGCAATAATATTAAGTGTAAAAAAAGGAAAAACAAAAGTCACATATAAAAAAATCTTTAAAAAACCCCCAAATTTTTAAGTCCCTCACCCTCATGTATACGCACGTACAAACATAAATACGCGTCGGGTGCGGCAAAGCTCGAAAACGACAATTGCACTGCACATGTTACATATTACCGTGAACATTGGAGTGCGAGCAATAATTCTAGGGCCATCATTTGCTAAACTGATGAGCGGTAAAAGCTTTTAAAGTATCGCCTATGGGCAATTTTGGGTATTGTAGTTTTTTTGCGGTTTCGCAGGCACGCGCAATTTTAAGGCTTGATATGTTTGGTATCTATTTACCCCACGTGACCTCATCTTTTATATTTTACAAAAAAAAAAATGGTTAGTAATAAATGTTTAATAACATAATTTTTGGTATTTTTTTCTTAATATAATAAAAAATAAAACCCCAAGGTGGTGATTAAATACCACCAAAAGAAAGCTCTATCTGTCCCCAAAAAAATGGTATAAAATTCATTTCAGTACAGCTTTGCATGACGGAATAAATGTCAGTCAAAGTACCGCGGCGCTGAATACTGAAAAATGGCCTGGACAGAAAGGGGGTTAAACACCCCGGTCAGCAAGTGGTTAAATATGTAGGCAATGTTTATTTATCTGGGAATTCAATCATAATATTCCACTGTTTTTATAGGTGTTTTCCAGAAGCTGGTTTACAGTTTCAACAAGAAAAGTAAAAGTGAAACTATTCAAAATATTACGTACACAGGACATAACGGGAAAAACTAGCAGTCAGCAGAGGCTCCAACTGATCATAGAACAACTTTATTGAACCACTGGGCTTTATAACACTTCTCACTTAACCATTTTTGGGCTTTACGATCCTACAACTGTAGCCACTTATTTAGCTATTAACTGTAAAAGTATTTAAAATTTCAGTACACCTTTGGGGCTGAGGTTTTTAGTTATGTGATGTTTTATTTAATGAATAGCGTGATGGATATTTTGAGGGCTTCCACTTTTTTTTTCACCCACTTGAGTCTTTTTGGAAAATACACCACAAACATAGTGGCTGCCAACCTGTGCCGTTGATTCCTGCAGTGTTCCCACTTCCATACCTTGACTAGGATTAGTTGAAGAGGAAGGAATAGAGGCCCATTTGCAATACACGGAATTACCAGAGATATTCCAACCAATCATATGTAACAATGCTATGGGGCAGCTGTACTAAGAGGCAGGTAGTGGCTCAGTATCCCTATCTGTTGTGGGTACAGGGTGCTGTGATCACCATTGACTGGAATCCAAGAGCAGCTCACCCTTACCTGTAGTGGGTACAGAACTGTTGGAGCACTATATCCAAGGAGTGTTTTATACAAGCGAGATCTGAACTCTGTTAAACTATGTGGCCATTTTCATCTTGGCATCCATCTACACCCTTTGGGTGGTGGAAGTGTGCTTTTATTAAAAAGGTTAAAAAAGATATATGTATATGTTAATACCAGTCATTGCGGATACAAAGTATTGCACCACATACATGTTTTAAATAGCCAGTTATAAGCAATTGTGGCTTTAAAAAGAGAATCTGTCACGTAACAAAATACCTGCTTTCTAAAGCCTCAGATAGATGCTGACCTTTTCAGACTCCTGTACCTGTACATTGCCTTCAGTGAGAATGAGGCTAAATTGAACTTGGAGGTGGCCTAGAAATCAGAAAATGGAAGCTTCTATTCAAGGCGTCTAAGGGCGGTATAATTCTAAGTAACAGATTCCTGTTAATGTGATACAGTATAATGGCTAGGGTTTACTGGAACAGCTCAGGGGAAACAGAGTATGGGTGTGAATGTGAACATGGAAGCTGACAGCACATCTGAAAACTTCACTTGAGTTAGATAAGCTGACCATAGTAAACAGTCATGTCTACGGCAGTAGTAGGCATCACTGGCAGACCAGTCT